CTGCATGATTTTGCTTCATATCCACTTGCCAAATGAGCCAGTGGACTTCAAAAACTAGCATAATTAAGTTTGTGTATTTTCAGTGACTTAAGAAATGTACTCTGGTCAACATGCCTCACCCTGCATTTAAAAAAAAAGGTTTCCAGAAGAAAAACCATAAATCCTGTCTTACATTGCAGGCCAATGTAAGACAATTTCCCCATTCGAATTAACAGAAAGCTATGAGTAACTTCAGCTTCATAGCTTTCCTGCTTAAATGCATAAAACAAGGAACAAAGTAGGAACAAGGGAGAACACTAGGTAACTACACAACATAAAGTGGCTTAAAAGAGTGACCATCTGAAAAAGATCAATGTGAAACATCATTATAAGACATTCGTAAAATCATCAACAATCCCATACTAAAAATGGCTTGCACCCATAACCAGTGTATCCACGGCATAGGGTTACAGCCTGTGTTGGATGGGGACGCACTCCCCCTGAAGACGCAGGTTCGCAGCTTGGGTGTGACCCTGGACTCATCGCTGAGCCTGGAACCCCAGGTTTCAGCGGTGACCAGGGGAGCATTTGCACAGCTAAAGCTTGTGCGCCAGCTGCGCCCGTACCTTGGGAAGTCTGACTTGGCCACGGTAGTCCACGCTGGTTACATCCCGTTTAGACTACTGTAACGCTCTCTACGTGGGGTTGCCTTTGAAGACAGCTCGGAAGCTCCAACTAGTCCAACGCTCGGCAGCCATGATTTTAACAGGAGCGGAGCGCAGGGAGCATACAACCCCCCTGTTGCGCCAACTCCACTGGCTACCGATCTGCTACCGGGCTGAATTCAAAGTGCTGGCGTTGGCCTTTAAAGCCCTAAACGGTTCCGGCCCAAGCTACCTATCTGACCGCATCTCTGCCTATGAACCCACCAGGACTTTGAGATCTTCCGGGGAGACCCTGCTCTCGATCCCGCTTGCTTCTCAAGCTCGGCTGGCGGGGACGAGAGATAGGGCCTTCTCGGTGGTGGCTCCTCGGCTGTGGAACGCCCTTCCTACGGACATTAGACTAGCACCATCTCTAATGGTATTCCGCAAAAAAGTGAAGACCTGGCTGTTTGAGCAGGCGTTCCAATAATTAGTGCAATGATTGGTTAATGAACACTGGAATGGAACAATGGATGACGAATCTAGAACATGTTTTTGATGACGAGACGACAGTGAATGGGTATTGTAGTAACTGTTTATTAATTGTGTAATGTGTTAGGTTGTTAACTGTTTCTATACTGTAGCACTGAATTTTTGCTGTTCGTATTTGTTCTGTCGCCGCTGGAGCCGAAATTAAATGCTTCTAAAAGAGGATGCAAGGCTTGCGTCCAGCGGGAAGCCCGGGGGCCCAAGAAAGAACCTTTAGAGGATTTTCTCTTATTAAACAGGCTTTAGGAGACTTAAACTTAAATACAACAGTCTTTATTAAGGAACAAGCAGGAATTGTAAAATTTCTAAATTGTCTATTGGCTTTTGCAGTCTTGTTTGCAGGAAACAGGCACTATCTTTAAGAATCTTTGTTCAACAGAAAAAATCCCCTTTAAAGCTCCTCCCAGGCTGCTGTGAACTTAAACCTGACTGGTTTGAGTCTGCTACTGGCTGAACTGCGTCTCAGAACCAAACAAACGTACCAGCGGGCTTGAAATCACCTAGCTGAAGATGAAGAGCTGTTATTCCCTCCGGAGGTCCTCAGGGCTGTAAAGCTGTTCCCTGGAACCCTTTGGGAATCTGTAGAAGCCTTCAATCTGTTCTTCCCCAGGAAGTCTTAAAAGACGAAGCTTTTGCACAGGAGGAATGTCTGTGTGCATCCTCTGCCTTGGCTTCTCTTGCTGTAACTAACTAAAAATGGCCCTTTCCCTCCAAAAAGCAAAAAAGGGGGCGGGACCAGGGATCCTAACTATAATTGGCAGGTGGCTTACCCTATGATTGCAGCCTATAACAGGAAGCCACCCTGCTGCAAAATCCCAAGCCTGGGATTGCAAACAAACATTAACTGCAAAGCAAACAAAATAGGAGCTCCTGGTACAGCTGTACCAGCACAGTATTTGTTGTCAACCGCTGTGAGTCGCCTTCGGGCTGAGAACAACGGTATATAAGTAAGGTAAATAAATAAATAAATAAATCCTTCGTACAATCCAACTCCTAGCATGGCAAACATAACGCACAGAGATCCAGAGAGAGATGGTTTCATGGACACCTGGTGATATTATCGAGTATATGTAGACAACAGTGTTACATTATGGCTTGGATCCAGGGTTGTATAAATGCAACCCAACTGACACAACAAAACATTTCCGCTTCATTTTCTCCATTACAGACCCTTTGGAGCAGTTTATTTATTTATTTATTTATTTATTTATGACATTTATATGCTGCCCTTCTCACCCCAAAGGGGACTCAGAGCGGCTTACAAGATATATATGCATACAATATATTACACTATTAGAATAGTACAATATCAGTATTATATATTACTATATTGTACTATACCATTATATTGTAATGTTATTAGTAATATTACATGCAATATAAAATATATAATTATAATATCATATTATTATTAGTAGTATTATATTGTATTACATTATAATATTGTAAATTATAAATATTATAACATAATAAATTAGTTGCAGCCATGAAGAGTCAAAAGCTACTCTGGATCCAAACCTTTCTAAAACAGTGGTTCCCAACCTGTGGCCTGGAAGAACTCAAATATAGTCCGCAACCTCATCGTTACTACATTGTTGCAACAAGAGGGACTGATCTTGCAAAACCTTCTTATATATCCTTCTTATATATGGTTTTTTGTGGGTGAGCTGATAGCAACTACTGGATGCACGTATTCTGCATCAGAAACTAGAGCTGATTTGGTCTATCCAATGCAATTTTCTGAATCAGAACCTGAAATAACCAAACTGAATCTAAAGTTGACCAAAACTGATTTATAATCCTTTTGGTACTATTGTTGGAGAGCGGTTCCTGGTCAAGTGGTCCCTGGCCAAAAAAAGGTTGGAAAGCACTGTTCTAAAACGATTCCAGCAATACTTTTGACAATAGGAAGGAAGTGTACCACACCAGGATTTGAAACTGTACTCTACCCAAAATAGCCTGGCTGTAGCTCTGCCTATGTACTTGATACATGCCCACCTATTGTGTTGATATATAGCTCTAGCTACTTATGTTCATATAGTGAAAATTCCCAACCAGATTTTGGCAAAACTTTCTAGAGCCCTATCTATGCATCTACAGAATATATATTTGTAAGTTCTCGTCTCTCAAATCCCATATTTATGGTGAATTTCAATCCTCCAAATGGCTAGGAATCATGTGGCCTTCGAGATAAATGTTTGACTGAAAGTCACAGCAAACCTGCCCAGCACAACTAGTGCTGAAGAATGGTGGAAGCTGCAATTCAAATGTTTCTGGTGGGCCACATAATTACTCTTGGAGTAAGCTTTCACAAATGCAGCGTAACAGGCAAATATGGAACTATGGAACGACTTGACAATGCAACTAGACAATGAGTTTAGTAAGGAGACACTGATGATTTATGTTTTTATATGGTTTTTATATTATATACTAAATGTTTTTAACTGTATTTCTATGTCTGCCGGTGCATCAAATTGTTGCCGACTGTAAACCGCCTTTAGTTGCCTTTGGGCTGAGAAAGGCAGTATACAAATACCGTAAAGAAATAAATAAATAAATATCTGGAATTGAACCAACTGAGGACTAAACTGGAGTTTAGTCCCATGGCCTGAGATTCCTCATCCCCCATTAGCCTATTCTTCTCTCCTTCTTTGGGCCACTTTCAGTTTAAAAGACCCAGGGCAAAGTATCCTCTTGCACATCCATTCCTGAATCCGTGCAGCAGTATTTATTTATTTATTTCAGGCTTTTATATCCAGTCCTATCTCAACCTCCGCAGAGGGACTCAGGACGGCTAATAAATTGGCACCCCGTAGTGCCCATACCAGAAACATAAATATACAATTTAACAGCACCACTGATTTAGTTTCTGATCATGCTTCAAAATAATGCTGTATCATAAGCATTCTGGGAAATAAAATGCAAGACTATATCCAGCCAACTGGCACTAGCATACACAACCAGGAATCAAGATGAGGTTGCCAAGGGAAACCTCAACAGTGAGCCTTGCCATGATGTTGAGGACCTGCCATTTGTGAATAGATGCCAATTGCTTATCCGGACCCTGATTTCGCTAAAGGTATATAAATTCAAAATTTTCTTCCAAGTATAAGTTTTTCTGACCAAGTTTGCAGACAGCAATTGGTTATTTTATAGTTCATGTTATACATTTAGAAACTGCACATCATGGTCCATGCAAGATTTCCAAGACACCCGTTGAGGAAAAGCATTGATGTCTTGTATTCACCATGCATTTCAAAAAAGCCTGTACAGAAATAGCCCAGGTTTGCCAACTGATACATTTATATCCTCACAATTCATCCAGTGAATTGTGCCTTTGCTGACTTTTTACAGATAAAACAATTAGATAAGAGAAGAGTTTCATACTGGCCACCTGACAAGTCTGGAGGCCAATATTACAACTCTGATAGCTAAGGTCTAAATTAAAAGTCATTTCTCAAGGTCAAAATGAACATATTGTACCCAAAAGACCATACTAGCTTAATAAAACATGGCTTCAATGTCTGAGTACTAACCACTGTGTAATAAACATTAACTCGTGAAATATACACTTATTAGAAGTAATACTGAAATTTATAGTACAGCTCATTAAAGTTTTCAAAGAAGGAAGGATTTAACTTGAAGTATTTTCAAAGAGAAATCCAATCAACATACACATATATTATACATAATATATATTCCTTCAAGTCCTTTTAGGGAAGGAAAGACTGAAATGGCATGTAAGATAATGCATATCTGACATTTTTCCTTTCCTTGGTATTAATTCTTTCTGATATTTCCTCTGCTCTTCTGCAAAACTTATAGTACCTTTGAAATGCACAGTCCTATTGTGGTGCTCCTTGTTTCTTTAGATAGCAGAGATGTCTTCTCCCATAGTCTTCTTCTACCTAGATCGGGAAGTAAAATGAATATTAAGTAAGTCCTTATTAAAACACAAGATATGTTGTTAAGAAATGATCACAACTCTATTGGATAAAGTTGAACAGGTCTGGCATACGATCTGCCATTGGCATGTGCCAACCAATGCTAACCAACCTGAGAACTGGACCACCCCAAAATGACATCTATGAGACTCCTAGTGTGCTAAAGTCTCTACATATATTTACTGTCTTCCAAGAATTAGTCCAAAACATATCGGTACATGAGGAACAAAAAGTGCTCCAATAGCAGTAAAGAACAAAATCTACTGTTATGGTGACCTGTATCAACCACACAGTAAGCTAAGCTCTGGTTTCTCAGTCCCTTGCAAAGCAGATCCTGGGGCTATGACTAAGACATTTGGATGGCAAAACGCCATGAGTGGTTTGTTCTTGAAAATATCCAAGCCAAAATTCAGCAAAGCAACACAACAGGTAGTAAAACAAGCTGAGAAATTCCATGATTTTTTTAAGGGCTTCTCTAAACAAAAGCAAATACAGTAGAGTCTTGCTTATCCAACATAAGCGGGCCGGCAGAACGTTGGATAAGTGAAAATGTTGGATCATAAGGAGTGATAAAGGAAAAGCCTATTAAACGTCAAATTATGTTATGATTTTACAAATTAAGCACCAAAACATGTTTTACAATAAATCAACAGAAAATGCAGTTCAATACATGGTAACGTTATATAGTAATTACTGTATTTACAAATTTAGCACCAAAATATCGCAATGTATTGAAACAGCTGTGGATCCGGGAGAGAGGCAGACTATGTTGGATAATACAGAATGTTGGATGAGCGAAGGTTGGAAAAACGAGACTCAACTGTATCCTACATTTACACCTAGACTTCAAATCAATCTAGTTACAGTTAGCTCTTATACAAAATACCATCAAGCATCCAGAATTGCAGGTTGAGTTTAATGATCCTTGGCAGGTGGTTTCCATATGTGGGAGTCCAGAGAGATCAATTTTGGGACTCTCTACCGTAAATGCATTTGCTCCTTGATAAACACGAGAGTGGTCATCTGATTTGATTTAGACAGCTCCTATAAAATCAGGTTGCTCCCCAGATGCCGTTGGATTGAAACTCACCATGTAGGTAAAGCGCTCCAAGTCCCCTTGGGGAGATGGACAGGGTATAAAATATATTATCATCAATACCAAAATACCCTCATGAAAAAGTTGGAATGTTAAATTGCCTCTGTGTCTGTCTATGGTATTGAATGTTTGCCATGTACATTGTAATCTGCCCTGAGTCCCCTGCGGGGTAAGAAGGGTGGAATATAAATACTGTAAATAAATAAATAAATAAATAAATTATTATTATTATTATTATTATTATTATTATTATTAGAAACACAACAAGATGAGTCCACAGCAGACAAGATCACTTTGGTGGCTGTTGTATTGGATCACACATTGGACACTTCCCAAGTGTCTAGGACTGTGTGATGCATCTGCGCATAATGCATGCAGATCCCAGTAAGGTGGCCTTTTGCAGCTGGCATATGGTAATTTGGCCAACACTGTGTTTAAGTGCAGGCCAAGGTCTTTAGGCACTGCACCCAGTATGCCAATCACCACTGGGACCACCTTTACTGGCTTGTATCAGAGTCTTTGCAGTTCGATCTTTAAATCCTCATATCATGTGAGCTTTTCCAGTTGTTTCTCTTCAATCCTGCTGTCGCCTGGGAATGCAACATCAATGATCCATATTTTTTATTATTATTATTATTATTATTATTATTAGGGTGTAGTTCAAAATATCTGGAGGGAAACATGATTTCTGCCATTTCTAAAGATGTAGCCTGTTGCAGAACACATAACCAGAATCTTACAGGCTGCAAGAGAAACAAACTATACGACCTTAAAGCTCAATTTACTGTGAGTACATGAAACGGACTTTAGCCTGCAAAGAACTACTGCCACAATAAAGTTGCTAGTCATTAAGGGATCCTTGTTGTTTTTACTTGTATTACTCTGCAAGACATATGTTCCAGGTGGCTTAAGAGATAATAACAAGATGAAAGAGGATCAATAGAAACAGCATATATAGCAAAATAGTACTAAGAACAAAATAGAATACGAAACCCTCCTTCAGTATCATTCAAAAATTCATTTCTAAATTTCTCCAAAGTAACTATTTTCAATCCTTAGAAAATTTCATGATGAAACATCACCTTCCAAGAAAAACACAATCTTCTGTGCCAGATTTTAAGAAACCAGTATATAAATATGAAATTAAGTCCATTTTAAAAAATTAACTGATAACCTCCTTGGCTTTACTGCTAATCCATTTATATATTTTTACTCCCACAACACAGGAAGCCATAGAGCAGTGGTTCTCAGTCTGGGGTCCCCAGATGTTTTTGGCCTTTAACTCCCAGAAATCCTAACAGCTGGTAAACGGGCTGGGATTTCTGGGAGTTGTAAGCCAAAAACATCTGGGAACCCCAGGTTGAGAACCACTGCCATAGAGTCCTGTATTTGTTAAAGGCAGGTACAGAAATATTTTCACACATACCAAATAACAAAAATGTGACATTAGAAACATCTAGGACAATCCACTAGGACAGGCCACACTGACACCATGGATATGATCATTACTATAAGTAAATAATTATTTTTAATGCAGGGTCAGTTTAAAAGGCAAGTAAGGGTAAAGGTTTCACCTTGACATTAAGTCTAGTCGAGTCCAACTCTGGGGGTTGGTGCTCATCTCCATTTCTAAGCCAAAGAGCCGGCGTTGTCCATAGACACCTCCTAGATCATGTGGCCAGCATGACTGCATGAAGCACTGTTGCCTTCTCGCAGAAGCAATACCTATTGATCTATTCACATTTGCATGTTTTCCATCTGCTAGCTTGGCAGAAGCTGGGCCTAACAGCAGGACCTCACCCTGTCCCATGGATTTGAACAGCCGACCTTTTGGTCAGCAAAATCTGCAGCACAGCGGTTTAAACCACTGCACCACTGCGGCCCCTAAAAAGGAAAAGCGGCATCTAAAGCTGCCACCGGAACTGAGTGCTCTTACTATCTGAATAATTTCAAGCCAACCCTGCAATAATTTCACAGCTTGAAAGTCACGTTTAACCTACTGAGATATAATTCCAGTTTTGTTTAAGCAGTTAGGGGAAAAATGCTGACATCTGGGTTGAATCTTCAAGCTGGAACTCCTTTTATCAACACATTACACAATAAACTATGGCTCGTTTTAAAAATAACTTGTCTACAGAGATATCTACAGGGATAGGCTCTTTTCCAAACTAAAGTAGCACGGGGCTTCTCGAGAATAACAGAACATTTTCTGCTGTCTGAACCATAAACTTTAACTATTTCATGATGCATTTCCTGGGGAGAAATAATTATGCCAGTGCTGTACTTCTGTCAGATTCTACTTTTGCCAGCAAAGTTTGGATGCACCCAAATTTTTACAACGGCTTTTCCAACTTTCCAGATATTATTATTGCAAAAGGATCTCCGTGAGATTCTTGGATTCTGGACTATATTTTGAATTATCCAACTGAAATCAGGTGTAAGATAAAGTAAACCAAGGTAAAGGCTTCTCCTTGACATTAAGTCAAGTCTGACTCTGCGGGGTTGTGCTCATCTCCATTTCTAAGCCAAAGAACCAGTGTTGTCCGTAGACATCACTAGGTCATGTGGCCAGCATGACTGCAAAGAGCGCAGTTAACTTCCCAACAGAGTGGTATGTATTGATCTACTCATATTTTCAAATTGCTAGGATGTCAGAAGCTGGGGCTAACACCAGGAGCTCACCCCGCTCTGCAGATTCGAACCACTGACCTTTTGGTCAGCAAGTTCCACAGTTCAGCTGTTTAACCTGCTGAGCTTCAAAGTAAACCAAAGGACCAGATAATGTTGTCACTTCTAAACCAATTGATGTAAAACATCTAGCTGCTGCTGCCAATGGGTTTCTTGCCGGCTCTCTAACAATTTAGTTATAAATTAAAATTCCTAAAAGATAGCCTCATTATAAAAAACAAAATATGCCAAGTGGACTAAACTCAACTGCCTCCCAATTTTGGGGCAGGCCCACTAAATTATAGGTCAACAATTCTGTAATTTCCAATGATGTAATGGTCCTACTCTAGTTATGACTAGTTCTTATTGTATTTTTACTTTTTATGGGAGGGTTGATCTTGAGAAGTTTGCTAGTAATATATGTTTGAACAATTTACATCATGACCAATTCGGGGAGAGGTCCTCTGCTGTCCCACTTATGGCAGCAAATATTTGTGACTGTGCCTTCACAGAATCATAGAGTTGGAAGAGACCACATGGGCCATCTAGTCCAACCCCCTGCCATGCAGGAAAAGCACAATCAAAGTACCCCTAACAGATGGCCATCCAGCTTCTGTTTAAATGCTTCCAAGGAAGGAGCTTCCGCTTCAAGTGAGACTAGATTCACAAATAATAAAATCTTAGGATATATTAAGCACTAGCCGTCCCCTGCCACGTGTTGCTGTGACCCAGTCTGTGTATATGTGTTTTGTGTGTATATATGCATATATGTGTGTATATGTTTATATATGTTTGTTTGTCTATATATGTGGTTTTGTGTATGTGATGTAAAGTTTTTTTTTTGTTTTTTTGGCTTTTTAAGTCTCTTCTGCTGTGTTTTTCAGTGTTTTTATGAGTGATGGTCACTTGTTGGCTTGATAGGTGTATTGTGTCCAACTTTGGTGTCAATTCATCCAGTGGTTTTTGAGTTATGTTAATCTCACAAATGAACATTATATTTTTATTTATATAGATTTCCCCAATATTCCTTTGGAACAGTGCATGATAACCCGAAACTTGCATTCAGTCTTTAATGCAGTACAATCAGGACTCCACATTCACTGGGGTTAGTGGCAGAGAATGCTGCTCTGAGATCAGAGTGAAGAGATAATGTGGGGTTTTATTCAGCTGTGTGGACGGTGCCCTGGTCTCTAGGGTTACT